CCTGACGTCGGATCGGTTTTGCCTCCTCCCGCGCCGGAGTCCCATTGGCTTTCCTCCGTGCCACTCTCCCGTTGCCTTCTCTTATTGGGCGACGCGGCTGCTAAGTCCCGCCCCCTACTTCCCCGCGCCCGCGGGCTCTGCGGTGACCGCCCTGAGGCGTGGTGGCCGTTCCTGTCCCGGTGGGGCTGGGCTGGGGTTGGGGCGGACCCGGCCGGGCCCTCACTGCCGGCGGACTGGGGCTGCAGCCCTGGGAGGGGGGTGGTGCGGGCGGCGCGGCACTCTGGGTGGGCGAGAGGGAGGGAGGAAGTTTCTGCCACACTTGCTGACTCGAAACTGGGAGTTGGGTCCTAAATTACCAAGAATTTTGCTTTTACAGCGGGCAGGAATGGGGAAAGAGGGTCGGGAAAAGCTTGGTAGCTCTTGCAGAGGTATGGTGGAGGCGTCCTGTCCATCACAGGTGTCCTGCACCGCCTGGACAGGGTGACAGTCAATGGGGTTCCCTTGGTGTTAACAACATCGAGCAGACCTTGCTCAGGACGTGCAAGAGCAAGCGGGAGGCTCATTGCTGTAACACAGGGCTGTGCTTTGCATTACAAGGCACCATTACCTGTTGGCGTCCTGAGCTTTAGTGCCTAACTGTAAGGCTGACTGAATTTCTTGTTGTTTCAGTTACAGGTGGTGGCTCCCTGGGCGTGGTGTGACAACCAGAGTGTGGTCATGGCAGCCAAGGCATATAGCTCCTTTGAAGGGAGCCTTCTGCCTTCATCAGTAGATGCAGTCCTTGCTCACTCGAATGACAAGCTAAGTAGATCCTACCCCTGGGCCAGCAAGAGAAGGAAAAGTCCACTCTCTGAAATCTGCCGGCTTAGAGCATCTCTGTCTGGTGAGCACAGCATTTTGAGAGTGAGTTCAGGTGTTGTCAGATAGTTTAAGATCTTCCTCCTCCCTTCTCCCAAACCTAGAGGCTATGGTAATAAGTAGCTGCCAGAAAGCAAATGTTCAATAAGCATCTGAGTCATCAATCACTGCAGGCTGAGAGAGTTTACAGGGAACGCATTGCTGGGTAAGTGCTCTGCACTTGTACTTGTCCCTGGGCAGCCACTATTGGCTGCCATTCCACCACCCTGCCACCTTGTATCATTATCTAAACCATGACAAAGTGGAGAGTAAGACGTTGTTATACTGGATTCTATTAGGAGGGGGTGAACTTTGCAATTTACAGTGTGTCCACAGAATCACAGAACGTTAGGGATTGGAAGGGACCTCAAAAGATCATCCAGTCCAATGCCCCTGCCGGAGCAGGAACACCTAGATGAGGTTACACAGGAACGGGTGTCCAGATACGGGTCTCCCCTGTTTTGTCATGGTGAGCATATTCATATGGTATGCAGTGCATAAATGCAGAGATGTCCTTGTGATGAGTTGATCATAATTCTTCTTCCATTACTGCTAAGACTTCAAAGCTGCTTAACAGTTTTGTGAGTGCAGTGATGGCATCTGGCTGCTGATGCCACTTGCCAGGGAAACACTTTTTACAGGCAGAACCTTTGAAAATTTTAGTGCAATCATTTGGCATTGTATAGCAAAACAGTGGTGTGGGCACAGGTATTTCAGTGTCACATCTTGTGAATAGTAAATTAGCTGGCTTCTGACTAATGCAGTATTTAATAGGGGCTTGAATGCTTACTGTAATTATATTTAATAAGTTTCAAATTTACCTTGAGAGACTTCAAAACCTTTTAAATTCTGTTAAGTGAAAAATAAAAGTTAACTAGGCTGCTTGAATCTTGTGGATGCTGGCATTTTTTTCTAGCCTATGGACTGAGTTTAGTTGTTCCAATGTCTGTGACTCAAAAATATACATTTATTAGAATTGTTTCTGTTCTTTTTAGTTTCATTGATTTTATTTTTTTGTAATTTCTTTAAAAATATAGAAGCATATATTTATGTGATAGTTTCTGCAGCTGACAGCTAGGATTTTTTATTCATTCTTCTAATACTCCTGTAGCGGACTGTGATAGCTACATAGCTGATGTTTATCTTCTCACAGGGGAGAAATGGAGCTCTTACTGTTTATCTTCGCTGGCAGCTCGAAACATTTGTACCAGCAAAGTTAGTAACTCATGGGCTCAGTGGGAGTCTGCCTCTCTCTCGACTTCCATTGGGAGTTCTTCTCCTTGCTCCTTTTTGCATGCCCTCGCTGCAGAGGAATCCAGACAGCACCTCCCAACTGCTGCACGCAACCCAAACGAAGCCATCTTCACTGTGGATGTCAACACAACAGAGGTATTTGCAGTAGTAACTGCTAAACCGAGCAGGCCATAGCTGGTGCAGGGTGTATGACATCAGACAGGCTAAAATGCCCATTATTCTTACATGGATCTGCAGGCAGACAGAGCGTCCTGAAGGTATTTTGTAGTCTGCTCATGCTCATTAGTCTTCTAAAGACTGACCACATGTTTATTTCCATTGCAAGTTGTAGTTAGCAAAATATAGAAGTCAGTATCAGAAGCACATTTGTCTTGAGTCTTTTTTTCAAACAGAAAAAGGGAATAAAGAAGAATGCAGCTGTGACGTGACAAGAGGGAAGAAAGGAAAAGCAGAATGTGCTTCAGGCCTTCTGTCTGTGAAATGCCAATGCTGGGATGGGTTTGTGGTGGCACAAGGTCTCTTTATCTGCCCCAGAATATATGCCTTTTGCATCGGGAGGAAGAGAATTTCTCTGTTTCTGCCCTGAGAGTAAACATTAATGTAAAATTGAGAACTGAAAACTTTAAAGAGCTGTGCCATTTTTAGCTCGAACTGACAGTTTGGGCTTACCCATCTTGAAGACATTTAATCCTGATTCAGTCTGTAATACAGGCTTAAATATGTCAATAACTGCTGTGATTACTGTGTGCCTTCAGGTGTGGATAAAATTCTGTGGTCTGCCTGGGCTTTGCTTGCAGTTTTGCTTCCGAGTATGTAATTATTTAGATGACACAAGAAACTGGAGCGGGTAGGCAGTTAAAAGAAAGCAGGAAACCTAAAAGGAAAGCAGTGTCCCAAACTCTGTTAAACAAGGAGATGCATGGGCAAGGGATGTTCTAGAGTAAGAAGGTTTAGTGAACTGTTTTTGAAGATTTCAGAATTTAAATGAACCACTCCATTTCCACCAAGAGGAAGGGGTATTACAAGACATTAAAGCAGCAATCTGAAGAGATGATGATCTATTAACACAGCTTACAGCTTTTATTCTTTGGTTTTGGTGTGGTTTTTTTTCCCCCTTGCTTTTCTAGATCCTAGTGGCTAATGACAGAGCCTGCAAGCTGCTTGGGCGCAGTAGTCAGGAACTTATTGGCCAAAAGCTATCCCGGTTGATATCCAAATCCAGTCAAGAGGTATGGGATGCCATGGGAGAGGAGTACATAGAAACTGGTGAACATTCAGCGGTGGTTTCAGGAACTGTGGTATGTGAAATGTTCAAGCAAACATTCCCCACTGTATACAGTGTTTCTGTACGCTTTGAGTTGGGGTTTTTTGTCATTTCAATAGAATTTCCCAATATATTTAACTTTTTGGACATTTGGCAATTGTGTCACTTGTAGGACTGTTTGGTTTCGAAGTTTGTGGATGTGGGAATTCAAAGGGCAAAAGGTGGTTTGGGTAGCACCTGTGAGAGCCTTGCAGCTGCCAACATGTATGGTAATGAAGACTTGACCAAATCAGAACTTAAAGTGCATTAGATTTAAGAATTAAAAAAAATTATATTGTTTAACATGGAAAAACCCATTCTGGAAAAGTTCCAGATTTTCTGGTTGTTTAAAGTATTTTAAAAATTATATTAAATTGTGTTGTGCACATTAGAGTTATGTGTCGGTCAAATACTGTGAAATGTCTGTGCCAGAACACCCTGGTTGGTGCAAAAGAGTAGAATTGATGTTTTGCCTGTAGTGGGCTTGTTTATAAGAGAACTACATGAGAAATGTCTCAAAATTGTTTTCTTTTGTTGCTGTTGTGAGATGTCACTAGAAAATATTTGGAAAATGAGCTCCTATTCTTCCTGGTGTATTATTTTGTACTGAAATTGTCAGCATCTCGGAGCTTGATCTTTCTGAATCCTCAGTTGGATATGGGGGAAAAAAATAAATCTAAGTTTTATTTGGTAAAATCCAGAATAAAATGAAATGTCTGGTAAAGGCGCTAATTCTAAGCTACAGCCATTCCAAGCACTTTATAACAGTCTCTGTAATTCATAAACCCATTCTGTCAAGGTCACATAAAAATGCTGAAAGGCTTGATATGAACACTGCAGATTTTAAGATAAATAAACATTTTCTGATTTAAGAAGAATCTCCTCCTATAACAAAGTAAACTGCTGTTTTTGCACCTTAAAGTAAGAACTATGTTAGAAACATGGAGCATTCATTAGCACCATGGGACATCCCTTAAATAAGGCATCTCTGCAAGGCACTTCTCTGTGAATGCAAGGTATTAAATTGGCACGTTTATTATGCTGAAGGAAATGTCTTCAGTAGGCCTGAGGTTGAGAGAGAAGACACAAAAGCAGCAATGACATTTTGTGTCTGATAGTGAATTATTTGCAAACTTTTTCATCTCTATATTAAAACTGTGTTTCTTCCAATAAGAAACTAGTAAGTCATCAGGAGACTATGCTTTTCTAACAACGGTGGGGAAATAGCTTGGCTCAGTGTCAAATTCTTGTTTGAAATTCTTGCTAAATAACAACAGTCTTAGTAAATTATGACTACGTTTCTGAATCCCATGGGAAGGTGGATGTTATAGGCCGTCTCAAAGAGAAGATCCCTGTCTCGGTCTGGCTGAGGCGAATAAGAAGCAAGGACAAGCAGCGCTGTGTGGTTGTGCTGGAACCAGTGGAAAGACTTTCAGCTGCTGTTTCCTTCAGGGTTGATGTGAGTGTTTTCCTCATGATCAAAGGAGGCCACAGTTTGTGAGAGTTTATGTGCAAATGAAACGTGTCCAGAAGCCAGTAGGCACATTAGTATTTGTGAAGTCTGTGCATAGCACTGCCTGAAACCAGGACTGCACGTGCAGGACCTGTGCATATTTCTCCTGAGTGGCTCACCTTGACTTATTCAACAAGTCATGTTGAAATACACGCCTTGTCCCCCAGGGACACCTTAACTTGAACAGGGACAGTTTGGCAGGGGGTTGGTTATTCATGGCAGGGGTGCCCTTGTGAAGGGATCAGCTTGCTGAGGAAAGGTTCTGTGAGGAGCGTTGTCCCGTGCTTCTCCTCTACGGCAAAAGGCAGGCTCTCTGCATGATAGTGTCAGAGAAATGTTGTGTTATGCTGTCTCTGCTTTTACTGAGGTAGTTGTCTCCATAAAGAGACTGCAGAATGAAACTTCCTGCCATTTGCTTAGATATTTGCAGAAACTGTTGTTAAAGGATTGAGTGGACTGTGGCTAAAATGCTAAAATTAAAATAGTCCTATAAATTTTCTTCCCAAGGGAGAGATTACATCATGTGACCTCCTTTTTGCCCATCTCCATGGCTACCCAACACTGGAAGAAGTAGTTGGCCTCCCCATAAAGGACCTGATTCCTTCTGTGCAAATCCCTCCTCTAGGCAAAAAAATCCCAAAGGTATAGTATAAGCACCAGCCACGTTCTTCCATACCCTTCCTGTTTGGAACAGAGGTGCGCACTGTTTTCCCTCCTTATGTAACAGAAGAAAACCTTTTCAAAAAGAAGCACAAGTCCCCTGAAAAAGGGTGTGCTGCTTATTTATGGAGCTCTTGTCTGAATAGTTGCTAACTAGGAAGGAGACCAAGCCCTGACTTCTCACTGTGGAATCTGTCCTGGTGAAACACACTTTTCTCCAATCCTGGCTTTTTAAGAAACCCTGCTGTCTCTGTCAGCTCCCTAAAATTCCTTTGAATTCTTTAGCCAGTTTCAGTTGTGTCTGTCTGAAGAGTGAAAGTCTAAAGAATATCCAGATCTTACAAGTGCCATGAAAATGAACAGCTAGATAGTTGAAAGAAGCCTTATTAACACCTCATTTGCTGAAAAGCTGCTGCATGGACTCTCCTGGTCCTCACCATCAGGATATTCATACAGAAGTTCAACACTGGGTTCCAAATCCTTTAGAAAACCAGACTTTGTTCATTTTGATATTCACAAGATTGGTTCGTTTTACTTTTCCGGTTTCCTTTTTTCCTGAGAACATTCCTGTGTAATTTTCTATGAATACCGACATAAAACCAAAACACGTGGTTAGTTAGAGGTTTTCTGGTTTATGATTTTCTTTTTTTTTTTTTGCTTTAATTTAGAACCTCAGGATCCAGCGAGCTGTAGGCCAATCCAGAGAGGGTAATATGTTTCCTCTCAGTTTAAAGCTGCAAGTAAGCCTTCTGGAGGAGGACCAAGTGGTGATCCAGAAAGATGGTGTTCCACAGACAGAAAAAGAAGGCTCTTTCACAGGCTGTTATTACTCTGCTACAGTCGTGGTTTTCTCTACCATCAGTGGTCTTATTACTGTCCAGTCAGATGGAACCATCTGCGGCATCAAGGATAGTTTTGCTTTAACGCTCTTTGGCTATGAGAAGAAAGAACTGTTGGGAAAGGTAAGATAGGAGTTTTAATCCCTCCCAAAAGACAGCTATATCTGATGGCATAGCCATCAGAATTATAAAGTCATCTTTTACACTCATTTCTGTCACAAAACGTCTGTGTTCCATGTGTTTGGTGAGTGAGTTGTAGGATGATATGCAAATTCCCTTGCTGTAATTGCTAAATTTTGGGATGCTGAGGAGCTAGTAGGGATTTGCAGTAGCCCAAAGCAAGCTGCACATTTAAATGTTCTCTATCTGTCACGTGGATCACTTCTGCGTGGCTATCCCTGAGAACAGGGTCTGCACACACAGACTGTTAGCATTTGCCCCTGACGTGAGAGAGTCAGCTTAGCTTTATAAGGTTTCGTTCTGTGTTTTAGAACATTACGTTCCTGATCCCTGGTTTCTATAACAACATGGAGAGCAGCAGTGACTGTTTTTTGCCATTACCTCCTCTTGACGACTCCACGGGGACAGAGAGCGAGTGCGTCTTTGAAGGTGTTACTGCCTGCCATGCAACAGCCTCTGGCTGCTGTAACAAAGGTAAAATGAGCAGAGACGAGAGATTTGCCTATGAACGTGGGAACTTGCTTTGTAAAAGCAATGCAGCTCCATGCAGTTTTTAAATTGAATTTCGACTACAGCCTAAGGTGAGCAGAATTGTTCACCTGAGGTTGTGCTTCTCTCTTTGTTGCTGAGAAGATGAAACTCTATATCCAAGTTGGAAATTACTCTGTTAACAGAGAATGCTTTGTACTTAACGAGCATTTTCCTTTCCCTCCCTTCCCTGTTAAGATCTCTGAGTATTTTAAGATGTGTAAAATGTAGCTTTTGTGACAGTATTGCAGCAGAGCTGTATATACTCAGGACTAATATTTTAAGGGAAAGTTTTAATATTCTTCTGAATTGGCTCACACTGCTGGCTAATAGTCAATGTTATGTTGCTGTGGTGTTTCAGTTAGAAGGTGTCACTTATTCCTCTGATGCAGTTCACTGCATTTACAAAGAATTTATCAAAACTGTATTTCTCTGAACACAAGAGAAATAAATGGAAGCAAGGAAGCCTCATGTCTCCAAATCTGTTTTTCCAGCTATCTCTGCCCACAGCAGAGAACACAAGCAAATGCATACTTTCATCCATATCACAAGAGATCTTTTATGCTGGTTTTCCCTCCGTTGGTTGGTTGGTTTTTCCTGTTTTATTTTTCTCTTTTTGCTTAGAAATGCACATCTGCACTGAAACCAATGCACATCAGTGGAACAAAGAAGGGTTAGGAAACAGTGTGCAATTTATTAGGTAATTTTTTGATGAAGAGATGCCTGTAATCTAGGAGTAATTCAGTACTTCAATGAGGAAGCATAGTTGGCACCCAGCCTTTACTAAATGAAAGGAAATGGAATGGAAGGAAACTTATGTTTTTCTCTTTTGATCTGTTTTACTGGGAAGGAAGTTCTTGTCTTATTCTTTCTCTTAAATATGTTTAGTTTGTATACTTTTTTGTCTTGCAGTTCCATTGAGTTATATAAATGCAGTCTAAACCTTTTCATTTGAAGTGGTAGGAATGTGAAGTGTGTGTGTGTTTTGGGCTTTTTTTTTTTGTGCTGCTATTTGTATGATCAGTTTATTCCAGTCTCTGTATGGTCATTGGCATTTTTTAGGTCTCTGGACTTCAATCCAGGTAGCTAACACAGGAGGCTAATACCTGTCCAAGAGCTTTGATAGGAAGGCAAATTTTAGCAGCCCTGAAACATTCAGGTTCCTCCATGTGATGATTTCACAGGCCAAAGCAGAGTGGAGTACTCAGATTTGGACCACTTTTTAAAAAATCAAGCCTTTTATACTTAATTTCTTAGGCATAAGACAGACCAAGGCAGATCCAACATTGGTTTTAATCACTGTAGTCTCTGAAGCCTAAAGATAAAAGGTTGAGTTGGTATGGTTTTGTTTGTTTGGTACAGACAGCAGTTTCTTGGCTGCATCTTTAGCAAGCCTTCTGTCAAGAGATGAAGAGCAGAAATTGGAAAGAAGACACAAAGATGACAAGTTAATACATGATGAGACTAAACAGAAGAATGGGACCAGTTTATTTTCTACTCCCTCACCTCCTGAAGTGGCATCCACACCCACTCATAGGTAGGCATTCCATGGACTGCATATTCACTTTGAAAAATGGAGAGCTGTGGTGGCAATCACCAGCAAAAACTGTTTCTTCACTTCTGTGATGTCTGTGGGAAGGTGTAACAAGAGCCTTCCACACTTTGCTCTCTTTAGAATCTGAGCGCTATTTGCATTTCGCCTACCTTAGATTTTTGTTTATCTCTCTACAACCTACAATTGTAAGGTTACAGGAGTTCCATCTCTAAAGGGATCCAAATGCTTCACCCGAGCTAGGGAAGGTAATTGGGCTCTAGGGAAGGTAATTGGGCTCTAGGGAAGGTAATTGGGCTCTAGGGAAGGTAATTGGGCTCTATCTTTGCTAGATCAGAAACAGTAGCTGTTTCTCTCCTTCCATGGTATCCCCAAGCTGGTGTTGCAGCCATGCCAGGTTGCCTGGAATGAATTCTAAATGTTATTGCTTCCAGTGCTCAGCGTAGCTGTCACGTCATCCACTGAAACAGGGTATGGGGTTACTAAAGTCCAGCCATTTTTATTGTACCTTTCTGGGTCTTTTTGCTGTTACGAGGTTGGAAATTCTGCACAAGTACCTATGTGATGCATGTGATTTATCTGAAGTCAAATTTTAGGCCTTCCACTTTAACAATTCTAACCCTCAGAAAATCTTTACTGCCCTTTTTAACGTGTAGATCATTATAGCACAGTTCTTGCTGCTTCTCAGAGACTGGTAGTCTTACTGTTTCCTTATGCTCTCCTGGGTTTACGTCTCTCATATCATACTTGAATTGTAAGCGCTCTGCTGCATGCATTTTTTTCCTGCTCTACATTTTTATGAATAGAAATGTTTTGTAAAATACCTTGTGCTATGGGCTTCAGTGAACCATGGTGAAATTGATGGATGGAGACATCCCCTCTTTTGTTGGACAGACAGGGGATCTTCTTTTCTCAGGACTAGAAGTATCCTGCCACATGTATTGGCTTTTTGTTGTGGTAATTGATCTATGATATATATTTAGAAATGAAGCTAGAGAAGGAAGTAATCCATAGGGAAGGAGCACCATTCGAGCGTACCTGCTCTTCTTTGATCAAGATGGAATTTGTTAGGATTTTGGATGTCTGTGCCAACAGCTTTCTGTCTTTTTCTTTTAAACTTAAAAATAAAACAATTGGTGCAGGCTTTAAATAGTGACCATAGTAACTGAGAGTGGGTAGTATACAGTATGATGGTCTTATCATTATTTTGTCATCATGATATCACTAATAACTTTGAATCCTTGCAGTGAAGACAGCATTGCCACCGACAGGCTGTCAGCCCAGCATCGAGAGCCTTACCCTGAAACCTGGTGTGACAGAATAAGAGCAGTGGAACGGTGTACAACAGTGGAAACTGCAGGATCAAATAATTCTCCAGAGATGCTCTCTGAAAAGCTCTCTTCCACATCATCTGATTCAGGACAGTTGGATTTAGGTCAGAAGATGAAGATTTCTGTAAAAAGCAGTGATAATGCAGTACCTGGTGCATCTGAGACTCAGAATGCCAGTGAGACGAGTATGTTGCCTAACCAATTACAAGTTCACCATCAAGACCTCAGGCAAGTAAATTGGCAGCAGGTCTGTAGGTCACCGTATGAAGTGCTGAAGCGGCAGCACTCCACTGATGCCTGGGGCCAAGCTTCTTCAGTAAATGGTGCCTGGTCACCTGTTTGTTCTAGGCCAGAAGACAATCTAGATACAGCATCCTACGGGGAGATGAAGCCACCCTCTGATGTTACCTGTCACTCACCTGCAACACCAACAGTAGATGAGCTGTGGTCTGGAACAACCCCAGACTCTAGACAAAACTTTCAAAGCCCCACAGTTACAGGGCAGTTGTCAAAACCAAACTTGGTGTGTGATGCAAACCATTCCAGCCTCAAGCACATTGTCATTGAAAACTGTCTGCTAAATGGCGCTTCACCCTTCTGTGCAAATGGAAGAGATGCTATTCTTGATGTTTGCTCGGGAAATAAAATGAGCTGCAGTGCTTCTGCACCACAGCTTGCCACAACCTCTGAAGATGTTAAAGAATCAGACACTGAGCTGAACTGTATTTGCTCTGGTCTTGAGGTGCTGAGTCTGAATCTTGGTGTCAAGGGAAACTCAGACAATTATTCAGGTATTACTGCAGCTCTTGTAGGAGCATACTTCTCTAAGGCTGTAGACTATGTGCCAACTCGGAAAAACAGTGCTCTTTCAACTGGGCAAAAAAATCAACTGCTGAATGATATTGCCATAGAAGATGGTTCTGGGTGGCTGGCCTCTCAAAGGCATTTAGAAAGCTTGGAAGAATCCTCCAAAGCATTTCTTGGGAAGCCTGAAACTCTTACAGAGACTGTGGGGGACAATGTCGACAAAAACCTGAAAAGCAAAGGTAGCCCCGAAGAAGACTGTCAGTTGCATAGGGAGCAAAATATGGAGATAAAAATAACATCGACCCCAGTGAAACAAGAAGGAAGGCTGAATCCTCCAGCTCCTTTGACCTTGGAGATTCTGGAAGGCAGCTACACTGGGAATTGTTGTCACAGAGATGGTTCACAATTAAGTAAGTTAAACGAATTTCTCTCCTTCCCAAAACTCATATCGGGATGCTCTTTTTCACCCATGATTTCACAGAAGGCAGACCCGGTTAGAAGCTCACAGTGGAGAGGACGGAAGAAGCTCTCGCATCTAGGAGAAGTGGAATAGGAGAAGTGGTATAGGAAAAGCAGGTGGTATAAAATACAAAGTTACTAACAAGTTAATCCAGACTGAATAGTCAGAAATATTCTTAAAGCACAATTATAAGATTTCAACCTGATAACTTCTTCTGAATAGAAAATATAAACTCCATTGTAAAACTTGTATTTAAATTGTGTAATGGAATGTGTTTTGTTCACTTCTTCAGCTGAATTCTGTGGCTTGTTTTATTAAATCCCCATTTTTCCATAATTTAGAATAACAGTGTGAAATTAACAATCACAATTGGACACTGACAGCAGTTTCTGCCAGGGGGTGGGCACAATAGAGGTAGCCACCAAGTGTCTCCAGAATAGCTGTGCTTTTGTCAGCCCCTCTGATGTTTCCTTACTGAGCAGGTGTTCCCAGAATAAGTAATGGAGGAATTAACTTTAAGAGCTCCAAAGTTTGTCCTGAAATGCCTGTGGTCTCATTCAGCACTAAAGTTTCATTCTGCTGTTTTAACTTTCTCCCCTGTTTCTACAGGTATATTCTTTGAAGTGAAATGTGTAGAACTGCAAGATCCTGCCATGCTTTTCTGTGTCTGGGTGGTGAAAGACCTCCTACAGAGCCAGAAGGAAGCTGCAGCAAAGGCTCAGTTTTTGCTCTCCAGTCTGGCAAGCTCTGCCCAGTCTGTTGCAGATCTTTCTACACAAAGTCTTGGAGAAGTAAGAAATTATACTATTGTATAATACTGAGCATTTTTCTCCTTGTTTGACTGTTTAGCTGAAGCTAAAGTCAAAAAGTTTTTCAAATTAAAATGATGTGAGGTGGTGTGTGGATATTGCTGTTTCTTTGTTTCCCTATTTTGATGTCAAAAGAAATGTTTCTTTGCTGTAAAAAGGACACATTGCTACAGTGGTACATTTGTAACAGTTCTGGTAGTGTGCCTTTGGCTTAGTTCCAGCCTGACCAATGAGACAGAACCTAATTTTAAATTTGTTCTGGGGCTGGTTTAACTACATCTACAATACAGGTTTGCACCAGTGTGGTGACATTAATTTTTAAACCAATGTAACCACACTGGCACCAAAGACACAACATTATTAAACAAGGAAACACTAGGCTGAGAACTTTAATTGACTGATTTGTGTCAACAAAAGAAAACTGGTTTCTAGCTGCCTCTCAAGAGGCTGCATTCAAGGTGACGTAAAGAAAGCTAACACCACATAGCTGAACAGTAGGAACAAGTCAGTGCTGTAGGACTCGAACATAGAGCTGCTCAGGCCTGTTTTTTTTGGTAGTGGGATGTAAAACCAACAGTACTTTGACCAAAGCTGTAGAGGAAAAGCATTATCTTTGATCAATTGAAATAGGTACTGGTGATCTTCTAGATCCTTTGAATAAGTATATGCATTTCCTAGATCTTTGCACAGCTGGATTTTATGATGACCTTAACAGAGAAGTATATATGTACTTAGATATCGCATGTGTAACGTGCATAGTAGTGACAGCTCCAAACTCCAGGAGACTCCAAGGAGCTGCTGTTTATTGAAATGTGCTGCAGATCAGACAGGGAATTTCCCTCCCCTGCCTCGCCTTTAATCAGTTTACTGAGATACTTTAATCAGTATCTCCCAGAGCTGGGAGAAAAAGCAGATATTTGAGTGAAAAGCTTGGCTCTTGGCAAAACTTGCTATTTGGAATATTTTTTGAGACCTTTGAGACCTAAGTAATAAGATGGCTCTTGTTTTTCTTTCAGAAAATCATCTTCCATGCATGTGTATGTCAAAACATAAGCAGTTCTGATCATTTCATGTATAACTCCAAATGTCACTATTGAAAACAAATGCCCCCTGTGAGATTTGTTGTGTTTCCTCTCAGTATGGAATAGTGTGTACACCAAAGATGTTCTGTTACCATGCATTTTAGATCCTGTCTTTGGTGGAGAAACCAAGTAACTGCTGAAACAAACAACCCCCAAGCTCTATCCTCAGAGCAAGAAAAACTTCTGTTGTGTTTGATTTCTCGTGCAGTGTTGCAGGCTATAATATGAAGGCATGCGACGTTTCTTTACCAGGGATTTTACTGGAGTGTTAAAATTTGGGAGGGTATGCCTCAGACTTGTTTACTCTCCGTGTCTGCTAAGAGACCCGTCTACAGAACTAATATGCTAACTTACCAGAAATGTGGTAAACCCTGGTAATTTACTGTTTCTTATTTACTAACTCTTTTAGGTTTCTGTGGCAAATAGAGATTGCCAAATTTATAGACAGGACTTAAACCAGCACCTTTTTAGTTCTATCTATCTGGAATACACTTGGAAAAATTACAGCACTGAAAGCAACCTACCTTTTATTCATCAAATACAATTATCATTTGGAGATAGACCACAATGGATTAATTTTCTTACTTGCACAGACAATTTTGTGTGAGCATCTAAGGTATATATACTTCTGGGTTTTTTTACCTTTCCCTGAATTAAGCAGTATTTGTAGCTGCTGAGAGCTGACTGTTGACTTGTCTCTTATGGTGATGGTTACATCAACATTCAGTTCTTGCTGTGAAAAATAAAGATACTGCCTTTTAGGCATTCTTGCAGATGTGCACTTTCTTTTCAGTATTTACTTCATTTTATAATCATGATTCTGTGGCTTGCTCATTTTTTTTCTTGCCTTTATTTTTCTTTCCTATCTGTACCTAGGCCATCAGATCAACTTCACTTTTTGAGAATTCCCGAAGAGCTGAAGAGCTGGAAAGGTTAAGGGCATGTGAGGGAGAATACGCAGAGAATTACAGCACACTCAGTCTTATTGGCAAAGGATCTTTTGGCTTTGTCTGGACTGCCAGGAGCAAGAAAGCTCACCAGGAGGTTAAATATTTCTTTTAGATTTCATTTCAATAATTATCTAGGATGAAAACTGAAAGGTTAGAGTGTTCATATTCTGTCAGTGCTACGCTACTAGAAGGTGCTATTTGGTAGTTTGGCGTTTTCTGTTGTTTAAAGAGAAATCTGAAATCACTAATCTTATGGAAACAGGACAGCAAAATGTTTGTGTTGATGTAATATGTGAATGTTACCCAGGACGACAAGCGCAGAACAAGACTGACCTGTTGAAAGGATTAAACTTTAAAGAATTCCAGGTTTTAGTCTTCCATTACTAAAGAGAATGGCAAAATTCAAAGTCTTTATTGTGCCAAGACTCAAGAATGCAGAGTAGACCTGTTGAGGGTATGAAACCCTTCTCTTTATCAACAGAAGTATTTTGGGGGTTGAGAGGCAAGCTCAGGTTTTTCTCTGCATGGATGGTGAGTGCTTATTTCCCTCCATGGACCCCTATGCCAGAGGTCACCACTGCTGTAACGGGGTTGACAGGAGAGTGGACCTGTCAAAGCCTTTGGAATTCAGAGCATAAATAAAAATAAAATTAATATATTCCATTTCCATGCATTGTTTGGCTTCTAGGACTAAATTAGTTTAAATATGTTTAAAGATACTATAAATTATGCACATTGGGTTACTTTGGTCCTTCTAGTAATATGATTCATTAATGTTTTTCCCTGGAAATTAACTTACCAAACACTTAAAGCCACGCTTTTGCAGATGATGCTGAATGCTGTTGTCTGTGCAGGTTGTCGTAAAGTTCATCTGGAAGGAGAGGGTGCTTGAGGACTGCTGGGTGGATGATCCAGGTCTGGGGAGAGTTACTCAAGAAATCGCAATCCTGCTGAAGCTGCAGCACCCCAGTATCATTAAGGTACAGCAGACTTGGCATGAATGCAGTTTGAACTGCATCAGATGGTTCCTTTGAATACTTGGTGTCTCAGGTTCCTCTTCAGGAGTGAGGAAGTGTCTTGTATTAAATCTGCCTTTTCAGGAAAGAAAGGAACCTCTCTATCCTGCTTTGTTTTGGAGAGTATGAAGCAGGCTATCACTTGCTTCAACACTTTTATCCCAAATAATTGCCGTAAACACAGATCTGAAGGTGTGACTCAACAGAAAAAAAGCCTGTACATTATTTCAAGATGATACGATGCATATCACATCTGAACATGTACTACTTCAGCAAATAATCTGGATACATATCTTGATTTTTTCTCTTTGTTTTGGTTGTCGGGTTTCTTTTTCTCCCCAGAGAGAGAAATCCTCTTGATTTTAATTCTGCTCTCAGTTTTAATTATGCTCTCTTTTCAAGAAACATTTGTGCTCAGTGAAATGAGACTTCAAAGAGTATAATATACGTTGATTAGATCTCCAAGAGGAGAGCAGTGTTTGTTGTTTAAAAAAAAAAGGCAGTCTGAGGATGAAGCACATGATTAAAAAGGTCTGTTATTTATAGGTGCTGGATGTATTTGAAAATGAACACTTCTTCCAGCTGGTGATGGAGAAGCATGGATCTGGTCTGGATCTCTTTACATTCATTGATAATCATCCCAACTTGGATGAGCCATTAGCAAGCTATATATTCAGACAGGTGAGAGCTGGGAGTGTACAGTTGCTACACGCAGGTGAGCTTTGGTTACAGAAGAAGCAGGACCCTATTTCACTCAGACTAATCACTGGCTAATCAGCAGATGTGCTGAATCAGAGTCACGCTCAGTACCTATAGAACTTCTCTTTATTATGCTGGAGGGCTGATTTCTGACTGAAGCCAACTGAAATTCTACCTGCAGAAACCTTTTTAAGGTTTACTTAGAAACCTGTAGCAAAGAAGCCTTTACAGGACCCTACTTTGCATAAGGATTTCCTACAGAGCTGTCACCTCTTGGTGCACACCCCCTGTCACCAACTGCCCACTGCAGTCACATTTCCTCTGTGGGAGGAGGAATGCACAGGGAGGCTGCCTCAAGCCTCTAAAAGGCACTCTTTCACTTTGATCAATGCTTGGTTTAGAGTGATTGCAGGGGTAAAGGGCTCTCCTCTCTTTAAGGAATTTAAGATCAAAATATTCTTAGATTTTAATGTGGCATAATGCAAAACAACTCAAGGTAGCTTACTGTGAGTCAGGAGCTTGCCTGAGCGCTGAGTTGTCCTTTGTTCATTGAGTTAATCACAACAGCAGTCCCCAAGTAATTCCCCCTCACAGGTTTTGGAGTAAATTCTTTGCTCAAAGGTATTCAAGAATTACTTTGCACGCAGTAACCCACCGCTGAGTCCACACTCCTGTGCCTGGGGTGCAGATGGACGGCAGTAGCCCATGTGATGCCCTTGCTCAGCGCTTGCTGTGCAGTCTGCGTTCACAAACTGCAACCTTGAGTTTGGCTGGGTGCTTTGTTACTTCAGACCTGTACAGTATTTCTCTGCAGAGGGAGCTTTGTATTATAAATAGAAACTTTTCTCCCTCAGCCATCTGCTTTTCTTGCTCAAATGTATTGTGGTAGGGATAACGATTGTCTCCAAGGTGATCTAATTCTGATGCTATTCTTAATTATGGCACCATAGCATGAATCGTGCAGAAAGAAGAATGGGATTTAGGAGTGACTATATTATTGTTTATACCAAACTTCACTCTTAAATGCTTTGTCATCCTGCAGTATCGGAGACATGCAGTAATATCCTTCTGGCAAAATCAAAGAACCCTCTAAATGAAGCTAGGATAAAAATAGAGTAACCTGCAGGATTGTAACAGTAAGCTCTGATGCTTCTAACCAAAAAACAAGCAGATCGTGACTACAGCGTGCCACCCTCCTGCACATTTGTGAGAGAAAAGCAAGCAAAGGCTTTTTAAGTCTCTCTCCCAAGAGCATTGTAACACCCACTGCAGCAATGCTGACAGGCATGCCTGAATTCCTTTCCAGCCACCAAAATTAGGATCTATATCTTGTTTTATAGTGTCAAAACAAGCCAAAATGTGGCTATCAGAACTCTGTGATGCCACATAGACTATCCAGCAGGACACTCTTGTGTAGTAACACATAGTTCTTTCCTCCTCTTTCAGCTCGTATCAGCTGTTGGGTACCTCCACTGTAGAAACATCCTTCACAGAGACATCAAGGATGAAAACATTGTAATTGCTGAAGATTTCACAATTAAATTAGTGGACTTTGGTTCAGCTGCCTACCTAGAACCTGGCAAATTGTTTTATACCTTCTGTGGGACAATTGAATACTGCTCACCAGAAGTGCTGTCTGGCAAACCGTACGTCACCCTCCGAAAAGTATTTTTTGTGTCTGTCTCACCAAAAAAATGTGCATGCAGGACTGGAATAGAGAAGCCAAACTGCTTTGCCATTGGTACTCTGCTAGAGTATCAAACCACAGAAAACTGCGGTGCGATTTAGGGCACTGCAGTGACAGAAATTACTTGCAAAGGTTTGAATGCATATAAAGTAGGGCACTGCAGTGACAGAAATTACTGGTAAAGGCTTGAATCTGTACGAAGTTGTTCCTGACTAAGCCTGTTGACGGGCTTTCTTATTCTGGTCAGATGTTTTGCAAAGCCTTGCACTAATGTCTAACGTACTGCAGAGCCGAGTTCCAGCCTATGATTTTAATTTCCAGCCTGGTAGAGGAGTCTGGATGAGTCATTTTGTGACCTGGATGTGTCCTTTTTTCCTTAATCTTTCACACATCGGCTTGCTAACTTTCTCTTCATACGTGCCCATGAACACACTGATTTCTCTCTGCAAAAAGCTGCTCTTTTAGAGAGGTGGTAGAAGCAAATAATGCTGTACAGCATCTGCCCTTACCATGACTGGGTTCTGCACTTCCCCCACTCTCATCTCATCTGTTCCCTTCTTTCTTACTTGCTTCCCTATGTGAATTTTGCAGTTGACCATTGTTCATCTCCCTGTTGATTTTATGCTCCTCTGGACTCAAGGGTCCTTCCCTTGCAGCTTGTCTTGCTGCTGTCTTGGATGTGCTGTCCAAACCTTAGCTCTCTTCTCCCTGTTCTCTCCTTCTCTGAGTGCTGTCTGCCTGGAGGCTGGCAGTCTCATACCCGCTCCTGGCGGGAAGCCTTACCACCACGGTGGTAAACATTAACTGTAGTGCAAGTATGTGACCTTGCTCTCCTTTCACAGCTGTTTCTGTGGGCCCTTCGGGCAGCTCCTCCTAACGGGTTGAGAGGGAAGAAGCTGTACAAGAAGGAGAGGAAATCCCTGCTGGGAACTAGAGGGAAGCTGAAGCAGCACTGCCATGGGAATTCAGCTTCTTATTGTGTGAAGAAACTGTCCCTTTTTCTCAGCTGGAATCTAGATAGTTAATATTTATTTCCAAATAACTTTTGTTCGGAAAGGGATGAGAGGAGGCAAATGATATTCCACTGAAGTGTCTGAACTTCCACTTAAATACTTACTTGAGGGTTTTGCCTTATGGTGCAAAAGGAGGAGGCTAAAGTTCTCTTGCCACCAGCTTACACACGTGGAAGTCTAGGTGCATGTTCTACGTAGTCATCAACTGAAGCTGGTTGGCCATTATTTGGTTGCTTTTCCTTCATGGAAAGGATAATTCAGACTTCTCAAATACACATGAGAACCTTATTAAAATTCTCACAAGCTTCCTATGTTAACAATCAGACATAAAGGCTATCAGTTGCCTTTGTACTTTCTTTAGCATGCAATTACATATCTGCAACCTGAGTTTATGCACATTTATCTCCGCATAGGTACCACGGCCCTGAGCTGGAGATGTGGGCACTCGGTGTCACCCTTTACACCCTAGTATTTGGAGACAATCCCTTCTGTGAGCTGGAGGAGACCATGGCAGCTGTCCTGGATCCTCCTCAGCCCGTGTCAAAAGGTGAATTTTTCCCATTTGCTTTTCTAAAGGAGTAAATCCCTTGGTATAGTATAAGCAGCACTTATTCTCCCATAATAAAGAGGAAAACTGGGAAAATGCTTCAAAATGTGCTCTGCAAAGATTTTAAAAACTGCTCACTGAAGCAGAGCTGTCTGAAGTGTCCTTTTCAGGTAAGTTCTGCAGTGCTTCGTGCCTGTGATAAATACAACTACCTGCTGTATGTTTTATTAGTTTCTAATTCCAGGCCTCCCATTTATTATGATGACTCCATGTATCAGCTTGTCGAGCTTTCAGAGGTTTATACCAAAGAAAACCAGAACAAATAATGCCTGATGGGAAGACTGTCCAGCAGATAACTTTAAGATCATAATGGCACTCATGTAACTCTAATGCAAGTTTTACCCCGCTTGAACCATTGCCAGTCAATGCCATGTCACTTCAGGAATGGATGATAACGTGTTGATTTATAATCTCTGCATGAATTGGATAGCTTGACTTCACAGGGAAAAGACATTGGCCTTGTTTTCTGCTGGAGGTACAGAAAACCAATTGCATGTCAGGCTAAAGAAATCTTCATCCAGAAGTTCTCTGGGCTCCTTGGGAGCGCTGTGGTTTTGAGGCTGCAGGGTGCTGAATTCTGGCAGCTTTCCCTGAACCCTGAGTGCACCTTTGGGCACAGCCAAAACACGGGGTGGCTGCAGGACAAGACTGGGAACAGTGGGCCAGGGTTGCCTCTGTGGCATTTGTTTCTACTTCTGTCCTCCTTGGGGTCATAACTGTGCTCTCTGGTCTCTGATTTCACAACCTGGGAATCACGGCTCAGTCCCAGAGCCGAGTACACGTGACTAAGGCTGTGGTAGAACGGTACTGCCCAAGGGATTAAAGGGGAGGATTTGTCATTACAGTCTGCATTCTTTGAATAGAAACCGTACCTTGCATTCCCAGCGTGCCTGAAATCCAGCCTGGGCCGTTCCTCCTACTGCTGTCTCTCCCCAGGTCTCATGGATCTGTTGGCGGGGCTTTTGCATCCTGTCCCAGAGCAGCGCATGACTCTGGCCGCGTTAGCAGAGGATCCTTGGCTGAAGCAGCCTGTCAACCTGGGTGCTTATGCCTGGGAAGAGGTGTACGTCTCTGCTGAGACCGGCAAGGCATCGTTCTGAAGGCTTCTCCTCCTCCCGGCACCCACCAAGCACCCAGGAATGCTTTATGGGAGAAGACGAAGCTGCGGTTAGCAGGAGCCTTCTCATCAGGTCGCCTGCTGCCAGGGCTGGGGGCTGTGATACAGCAGCCGTCCCCCCCACAGCACCACCACTCCCCGTGGAGCCGTGACTGCAGGACTTGCGCTGTTGCCCAAGAACCAACAGGAATTAATTGTAAGCGCTTCTCTCCCATAGAAACGCTGCTGCTGCTGCTCTTCTGTAGAAAGAGCTGGGGGTCAGCACCGCGCTGTGCAGGATTCCTCAAGAAAAGCTTCTCGCTACGAAGCGTATATAATTATTCTTATGCAGGATGTGTTTTAAAGCTGAGAGGCAGAGATTTTAAGGTCTTGTTGAAATTGTTTATAACTCAGAATATATTCTTATTGGCTGGTTTTACTTTTTCTAGGTAGTTTCTTTCTGCAAAGCGAACGAATAAACACCTTTGCCTTGGTTGACTGTCTCCTCTGCGTGTTGATTGGGGTTTGTGTGCACAAAGCAGCCTCACAAACAGAATTCCATTATTCCGTTTCCTCTTTTTTGTTTTTTGTCAGTCTTCTCTACATCCAGGAAAATAGTTCTTGATTTTGGTGAGACAGACATGGGAAAGAAAATCTAGATTAAATGAAGATAATTTTAACCAGTTAAAAATATGGAGGCATGGGTAACAAGACCAATTCAATGTACAGCTTGGCCAGTCAGACTTCTCGGAAGCAAGTGATGGGAAATGCAGCCGTTCTCATGCCTGCTTCTGTCAGACCATCTCAGGGGTGAAGCAGCAGGACTTGCTTGGATAATTGACTCCCTAAAATATTAAGGATCAGCTCTCTGAATCCAGCTTTTGACTCTGTTACCTCCAGGCAAACACATAATGATTTGACTTAGGGTAAAACGTTTCCCTGTGGCTGAACTGCGGCTCTGAGCCAGGGCTGCCCTCCCGGCTTTGGGAGAGCCCTTCTTTTCCCAGCAGGGTCGAGGAGGGCTCCCCTGGCAGCTTCGCCACCGCCGCTCTCC